TATCAGGAAGAATTAAGCGTTTAAAGAGATGTCGCCCACAAATTGTCGTTTAATTAATCAACAGTGGAGATACAAGCAATCTTTCAGTTAGAAAGAAGCTTCAGGGGACAACATAGTAATGAGGGTTGGAAATTATCTTTAAAAGTAAGGGGGGAAATAAAAAAGATAGTCTCATGTAAAGAATAAGTAATGATTTTTAATGAAGCTGGCAGCATCACACTAGACACAGAAATGTCAGTACATTCATCAGATAGGTTTGACTGTCATGGTGCACAGATAATTTTAATGACTTTTGGTGAAATCTTGAAATCTTGGTCATTTTCACTTGTCTAGAAAAATGTTGTGTCTATTAGCACCAACCAGCAGAAGGCTGATACTGGACTGTGATTGGTGTTGATGGGTAGGGGACGTTCAAGTTCATTTTAACTGGTCATTAATGTAAGTGAACCAATCACATGCCAGCAACTCAGTGCATTTAGGCACTGCAGCATTGCGCTGATGACCCGCTGAGCATCGGAATGAGGTCAAAGGTGATTTGAATGTGACTTTGAATGTGACCTGTGTGTAAACTGCTGATCCACTGGCATTTTCTCATACAACCATCTCTATGGTCTACAGAGGTTGTTCTGAAAAAGAGAAAACAACAACAAGAACTCTAATGACCATAACCAAGATATGCAGATGAGCATCTCTGAACACATAGTATGTCACAACTTGAAGCAAATGGGCTACAGCAGCAGAAGACCACACTGGGTACCACTCCTGTCAGCTAACAACAGGAAGCTGAGGCTACAGTTCACACAGGATTACCAAAATCATTAGATTAGAAGATTCAAAAATGTTTCCTGTTCTGAGTCTTTCTTTCACTCAGATGGTAGGGTTAAAATTTGGTATAAACATGAAAGGGTGGAATCCATCCTTGCTTATTCCCAGGATCTACATCACATCTGACCAGTCACATTGTTATGATGTCACAACTTTGTGACTTGGGGAAAAAACCTGCCGATCTACACTCAGGAAGAAAATCTAAAAAACAGGGGCAGTTAGGGTTTCAGTTTTGTATGCAGTGTTTCCACATAGCAAAACTATGACATCACTACAATGTGAATAGTCACTTGCAATGTTGAACCAAAACTAATGTTCCTGAATCAACATTAGTTTTGTTGATTCAGGAACAGCAACAACACAACAATAGAAGGTGTACCTAATAACGTGAGTTTTCTGGTTGATTTGTGCATTTGTTTGTTTGTTTTTTTATTTCAATAGCATGAAAATGTATGTGTTAAATCGTCTAAGGAGCTTGGAAAGAAAAGCATCTGGACTTCTTTAAGTTGATTGAAGACGTTTCACCTCTCATCCGAGAAGCTGAGAGGTGAAACGTCTTCAAGCAACTTAAAGAAGTCCAGACGCTTTTCTTTCCAGGCTCCTTAGACTATCCTTTATGCCCAAACAGACGAGCCAATAATATTCCAGTTGTTCTTAACCATTAGCTGTGTTTAATGAGTATTAGCAATGTTAGCATGCTAATTCACTAAACTGATGAAAACAGGTGAGCGTGACTGCTTTGAGGATTGTGATGTTAACCTTTAAGTCACAGCAGTGCTGATCCTGCTCCAACACTGAGTCAGAAATCGGGCTTCAACATCTTTATGTGGGTGCTGGGCAATAGTGAGGGTTGACTGAGTGGGTGAGTGAAGTGCTGCTGTGACTGAAACATCTGTTTCATCCATTTCACATGTTTGTTGCTTCAAATTTGGCAAAGCTGCAGGTGAAGATTTTTGTAACAATTTATAGCCTTATGATAAGGAGACTTATTGTACACTCCTCTTATCCATGGAGCTCAAAGATTTTCATTTTGGCCAATTTTAAACTTCCACCTTTAGACTTAATAACTACAGAAACTACCAGCAATCTTGTCTTACTGGCTTTACCTATTAAGTTGCCTGCATAAATGTAATGACAGAGAATGACTGCAAGATTTAAGCAGTTTACTTGATTTTCACCCTTTTTTCCTTGAAAATGGTCATTTTTTTCAGCAGGTTGGGCAAAACACAAGAAAAGCATCACATTATGAGGGTTTTCCTTAAGGACATCAATAGCAAACATCTATTGCATAATATTCATGAGGAACTGCTGTGTTCCTTTTTTAATTTTTTTAAATGAAAGTTATTTAAATGTTGTATGTTCAGACAGATAAGTTCTGGATTACTGCAAAGTTAGCATGGCTCATTTTGCTTTTAAATCAGACGCCTCCAGACTCCAGATAAAACACCCAATTTTCCAGATGTAGTGTAAACTATTACTCACTCGTGCACTGACACACGTGTGTGAGCACGTGAACGCTTCCAGGCAGCATCCTATTACTCTTTTAAGTTTGAAGTCCATAAACAATAAACAGCTATATTCAGCACACCTCAGCCATCACCCTGTGCTCAGTGAAAGCAGCAGATTTATATCGCCGCTGGGATTAAGGCAGTGTGGAGTTTAGAAATGGTGCGACAAGATAAGGAACAAACACTTAAGAGAAAGGAAAAAAACAAGTCTTCAGTCAGTTTATCATCCTGTAAATGCAAAAGTACATTTCAGGGACAATAAGTCCATCTGTTTATGCTGAAAAGGCTCAGCGGGCTCAGACAAGCCATTATCGCTGTGGCCAAAATAAGCATGATAAGAAAACAGTTTCATCTTATCTGTGTTGTCACTATGCAGTTCCACATATACAGCATGTGAATGAAAAATATACAGAGAGAGGCACTTCCTAAATGGTGCAATGCTGCCCCCTGGCAGTGCTTAAACATAAACAAGGGCTCAGACAGATGAGATGTTTCACTGATGCTTCACCAGGCAGTCAAATATTATAGTCAATATTCATCACATCACATGAGAAACCATTCAGACACTGTCAACCTAAATTAAGGCCACAGACAGTCAAATAAGAGTCACACATACCCCTAAAAACCTTCTTTAAAAATGCAACATTCAGCTCCCTGAGAGAAAAAGAGAGAGTTTATCTAGTTCTGAAAGTTCAAAATTTGCGGAAAACCTCCATGACAGCGAGGGTCGTGCTCTGTCCAAAGATGAATGCTCCAACTACAATCGTTATGACTCCCCAAGCTGTTAAAATCGCCCTGAAATGATAAAAATGCAATCTGGTGATCGGGAGCATCAAGTGACAGATCAGTGCAACGGCAATAAAAGAAAAACAGAAAATTCAGAAGCATTTATCAGTCTGTCCTTTAGCCAGAAATCCTTCACTTCTGAGACACTGGATCAAATTTACTGTGCAAATAAAAGCCCAGAGAGGGAGACATTACCTCACAGCCATTTCTGCTGTCTGTTACTGAATCTAAGAGTCATTCTTAGCATACAGTCATGCAAAATAAATTCACAATATTTCCTGAAAAATCTCCAGGAAGTAAAAATTTCCACATAAAATACTGTCTAACATTCATTTATTGCGATATATTCTTTAAACATTTGTTTACCTGTACAAACTGTTGCATGTTCAGCATGTTCCATTTATTTGGATACACTGATTTGAATAGAGATACTGGCTGAATGAATTAGAATAATACATGGATTGTTTCTGTCTGCTCACCTGACTCTTGAAGAGATGTTCTCAGTTTGCATGGTGAACACTAAGCAAAGACCTGCAACACACAAAAACACATCACACAAGGGCCTGGGTTACAACGACGTCCTTGTACACCTTTCTCTTATTTTTGTATTGATTGTATATGATAATAAAGGGCTAAATATGTCATTACAAAACAATCAAAGTCACATTAAAGTGAATGTTGCTGCTACCAGGAAATATAAAGATGAAGAAGGCGCTGATTCCACCGATGATGCTGATGACGTCGCTCATGTCAGGTACAAACATGGCAATGACAAGCGTGAAGGTGATCCAGGCCACCGTGAGAACAACTCTACAGCGATTCTCAAACGAATGAGTGACGATTCCCCGGTAATGTCTGCGAACTCGTAACATCAGGTTCAGGATGACTGACCTGTTCCACACACAGAAACACAACATGGCAGTAAGCATGCTCAGAGTCAGAAAATTAAAAACATCTCCACCCTGGTGAGACTTACCTCCCGAGAAGAAGAATAATTGGGTAGATGGTGATAATTGATATTCCGAAAAGTAGCCTGGAAACGATCATGACCACATCATTTCCTGGATATGACATCAAAATATCTGAGGCTACGTCTTCTCCAAATGTCAAGAAGCCGTACACACCTGGAGAGGAAGAGAGCGGGTTTGATAGAGAGCTGCCAAATAAGCAGATAATACGCTTGTTTTGGGAGGGGACTCACCAGTTAGAGTGTAAATGAGCAAGCAGAAAAGCATAGAGAGCACAGAAATGACCGCCCAGTGGGAGATCTTCTGGTTCTCCATGCTACTGTAGATCGCTATACAGGCTTCATGGCACTGCAAACACACACAAGCACACTGTCAAAATATTTGAATAAAATCCAGGCTGTCTTTTGATGATGCTGAACAGTGAGTTCATTTTAGCATGACACAAATGTAAACATCCTTACTGGAGATGACAGGGAAGCATATACATATATATAATTATAAATAATAAAACCAATCGGGAAAATTTGTTTTTATAGTTTCTGGTAAATAATCTTGATTTCAGTAAGTGTGACACCCTCCTGTTTATCTCCTCATTCTTTAAAATATATATAAAGACTTAAGGCAGGGGTGCAATCTGCTAGGTATACCTAATAAATTGGCTATTAGACTGTATTATATAAAGGGAACATTAGGAAGTGAACAGTTAAAGATGTCCAAAAACAATCCTACCTGAAAGCCAAAGCAAATGGTCGGTACAACACTAAACATCGATGCCCATGAACTCACACTGAAAGACACAGATACATGTTCAGTAAGGTCGCACACGACAGGAACTTATCATAAGGATATGCATGCATTCGGATTTACTGACCTTTGGCTGTGGTCTGGAGTTATGACTGCGTGACTGTCCATCAGGTAATATTTTACAATCACTGCCACACACAGATATGTAGCAGCCAGCGTCCCCAGCACACTGACACAAAGAGAGACGATGAACTCGCGTAAACATTTACACTGTGAGTCAGGCTGAACACAGGTTAGTGCTGCTTACCTTGTGTATTTCTGGATGCCGATTTCTTTTGGGATGGACAGTGGTAGGATGATTACAAGGCACATGACGAAGAGGGCAAATCGTTGGTCTGTGTACCAGTGGTAGGGCATTCCTGCCTCGCTCGATCCCGTAACTGTCTCATAGAGAGAAATACACACTGGAGACAAAAAAGCGAGAGAAGTTCACAATATTTATCTACTGCAACATGAAAAGCATCAGTAAGCAGGACAACAGGGAGCAAGAACTGTCAAATCCTATAAGATTTAATGGGTCTAGTTGACTAGATTTACAAAACAGTCACACAAATTTTGCTTTTTCCTTTGTGATTTTTTTTATGGCAAGATATCAGTTTTTAAAGTCAGTGGATCAAGACACAGAAAGATGAGGCATCCTGTGAATTTGTTTCAGCCATTTGTCATTAATCTGTATCATGCAGAATCTCTGATTAAAATCAGGAGGCGTTTGGGGGATGGAGTGTGTTTGGAAATCCGATCAAATGATGTGTTTAAAACGGTAACAAAGCAAAAACACTAAAGGAGATTTGAAGGTTTTCAGATAGACAAAACACAACAGGAAAAAAATGAAAATGTGAGATATTCCTGCTCCCAGTCACATGTTTAGCCTAATGCCAGCTAGAATAGAAATTAAGGAGCAGGTGATCTGCAGTCTGTATTAGGTTGCATGGTTACAGGTTACAGGGAACGGCAGCTGAACTGGTCAAACTCAGGTGACGACAAAATAATGTCAAATACTCTAGAAAGCAGTGTGAAAACAGAATTCTTACAGGCTTTCTTTTATCCATTTATTTAACCTGCTAAGGAAATAGAAAAGGTAACATTAAAAGTATTAAAAGTTGATAATTTGGGAGTTTTTAGTGCATCAGCAGAGCATTCAGTGCATCACACATTCTGCTGTAATGGGTAACCTTAACCTGCTATCCTGTTAAAACCCCTAAAAATGTTGGCCTTACAGCTAGAGGCTAAGTCAGTGGAGTGGCAGTATTTGTTTGTGCTCATGGTCTGAAAATCTAATGGTTTATTAATATGTGTATAGTTAATGTTAGCAGATATTTTATAAGTGACTTTGTTTCTTGTCATCTTTCCCTGCTGTACATGAACACACAGGTGCAAGGTTTTCATGGCTAGTTCTGGTTGTGAGTTCATGTGCAGGCAGATATTGGAAGGCTGCAAGTCTGGAGCTGAAACAGGACTTCACTGTGTTTGTTAATGGACCACTGACACCCATTTAGCCGTCTTTTTCTGGTCCAGGTCACAGGAGTGGAAGTCTAAGCAGACAGGGGGTGCTGGTCAGATCCTGGTCAGATGATCAAGCCACCTCCACTGGCTCTTTTAGACATAGAGAAGTAGCAGCTTTTCTCTGTAATGCCAGGAGCTGTACATTGTCTCTGCAGGGCCCCCTAAGACCACTGGACCACTGGGTAAGGTGTCAGACAAAGAGAGATTCAGAAAAGCCCTATGATGGTGCCCAGTGTTTAGTGCCTTGGACTGGTTTGGAGTCTAGTGAGAGGCTATGGTGGTCTGATCCCTGATTGCCATCACTGGCTTTAGGAGCGGTGATAAGATAACAATAAAGTTTTTATTTTATTCTCATTTTCCTAGTTAACTTTTCATTGGAAATGAGTTAAAAGGAAAGTTTGGGGTGTAATGTTTTCCTTTCCATCATATTGCATCTGAGAATACCTGTTACACACTTCCAAACTGTTGTCAGTGTCCTCTTTCTTGATATTTTGTTATTTCCAGCTGACACCAAGTAATGTCAGAGCAAAACAGAGAAAGCCATAGAAGAAAGCAAGAATTTGGTTACTGATTACCAAGGCACGGATGCCACAGGTGAAGCTGTTTCTCTTAAAGCTAAAGAAAGCAAAGAGGAAGGCAAAGGTCTCGCTCACATTTCTCCAGCTGATCCTGGACCACAACGAGGAAGGCAACACTTATCATGAAGAGGTTGAAGCAGAAACAGACTTCACAGAGTTTCCCCACGGCTCGTCCACACACTTCTCTCACCACGTCCTGATACGTCTTCTGTCTGCTGACAGATGACGCATAGCCGAGGACGACCAGGCCGCTGATGAGGAAAACCAGAGACACCTGAAGGGGCATCAAAGGGATCAGCTTAACGCTAATCTTCACTCACAGACCACAGTGATGATATCACAAACTATGAGACAACAAGGCTGTGGGTATAGGTGTTTTAAAAAAGACACCTGAAAGAAGAAACATGCAAAGAAAGAAAAATATCTCAAAGCCTACATGTTTAAAATATTCGGTCTTTCCAACCAGTAATCCAAAACACTCAGGTTAATAAGATCGATGTCAAAGTGAACACTCTCTCTTTCTCTCCTGGGGGAAACTGAGCACAGGGGAAATGAGATGAGGAAGAAGTAAGAGTAGACAGGTGGCTCACAGAATAAAACAGAAAGTAACTATTACAAACTAGACACACACATGCACAGCAGCTTAACACTCAGGGAAAGAACAAATCCCAGGACTCTGAAAAGTGCATCTCAGCATTTTTAACACTGCAGGAAATTAAATGATTAAACAATATCTGTGTGCAAGTTATAAGTTGCAGCTGCTGTAACCAAAGTGACCGTTACAACAACTGGTGTTAAAAATATAAAATATATAACAACAGTTACATGGGACAAAGATGTCAAGCTCTGTGCCCGCTGACCTCTTTGGCCCATTCTTGGAAAGCATGCAGTAATAAGTCCATGAGATACACACACACACACTGCTTTTCCAGCAGTCAGATGCGGTGCACTGAAAGTTTCGATCTTCACCTAAAGTGGAAGCTTCATTAGAGCTCACGTGTTAAATCTATGCGTCTCTTTCACACCAAGGAGCCAGAGAGAGGGATGGTGAATCCATACTGAGCCCATGCAGGTTGTAGACCAACAGACAAAGTAACCTCTGGGGGAGGGGGACATATAAAACTGTTGAATTTTGACCTAAATTATTATGTTTCGATATTTTAGATGATTCTTTGTAAACAACACTAACTCCAGCAGCATGTTAGATCCTGTACTCACCAGCTCCACACTGACTGCAGTGGTGACTCCCCCTGCCTTCTGAAAGGCCCAGGGGAAGTTGAGCAGTCCGGCTCCCAGGGCAGACTTCAGCATGATGAACACCGCACCGAACGAGCCGAGCCGCGGGGGGTCCGCGTGAGATGCCGATCGGGCCAGCAGGCTGATGCTCTCCCGGGCCAGCTCCTCCATGATCCAGAACCAACACACAGACTCACAGAAACACCAGAAACTATTCTTGTGCACCCAGAAACCTGCAGTTCACGTGTTCGACTCCCTCTGTATCTCCAGAAGTAGTCTCAACCTGGTGAGCTGTAAACTGTGCCAATATATAGACCCACACACCCGCACACACACGACTAACATGGTCTAATTAGACTTTTCGACTATTAAAAATTTCACTCTGAGGTGAAAAATTTGACAGTAAGGTGAGCATGTTTACTTCTGCCCGCTCCGCCATCCCTTTATGTCTGTCTCTGATGCTTGCTGATGAAGAAGCCTAACTGAGCAGTGAGGCAAGTTTGATAAATGAAATCAAATCAAATATATGATGTTTCATCAAAGCTGACAAACTTGCAGTGACATCAGCAGACTGACCTGCTGAGTGTTTCCGGGAAGAAATATTGAACTAATTCCATTTTACTCTCTTGTTTCTCTCTATATAAACAGTCCCAGCGCATCTCACACTCGTTAAGGACAATAACACCCGCCTCAGGGGGGAAATTGACAGAGAAATAAATACAATTGTTCATTTTATTCTTATTTCTTATTAATTTCACGCATTATGTACACAGATCATAGAGTTGGTGCTCAGTTCAGCTGACAGCTTTAAAGTGTTTACATCCTGGTAGAATAAACCCCCGGCCACATGGATTGGACAGCCCAATCTAATACACTAGGAATTCATAATCCCTGCCATGTTTTATGCTACACACCATCTGCTGTAGAGCATCGCTCAAAAGCGGATGAGGACTCAGTTGAGAACAAAAATAAGTTTAAAAAAAACAACAACATGAAAACATGTTAATGGCCAGGCATTGCGGCTCCTCCTTTGAGCCTCACGGTGATGGAGATCGACTCCGGTGACGATCATGATACAGAGATCTGAGTGAGCAGGTCTGCGAAGGTGGGGACAGACAAACTATGTAAGGGACGGGTCATCAAACTAAGATATAAATAGATGTTTTTATATAAAGAATTCAAAATGTATTTTTGCAGGCTACACAAAGATCTATTTGTTTCTTTAAAAATATTTAAATTGAACTTAAATTGAGTTTGTTATGAATTGGGCAAATACATTTTTGCGTGTCTTCATTAATTAGTTGATTTATATTTAATTTCACCAGAGTTGTAGCCCCAAATTCTAACAATTACTGAGTACTGCTGCCATTTTTTTATCACATAGGTGCCACAATGGTGTAATAGTCAGTGCTGTCACCACACAACACGAAGGTCCGGGGTTTGACTCCCACAAGTACACACTTTGCACTTCTTGAGCAGAGTTAGCATGTTGGCTTCTCTCTAGCTTCCTCCCACACTCCACGATATCCGCATTAAGTACTTTTTTTCTAAACTGGCCCCGGTATGAATGTTATCATGAAAAGTTATCTGTCTTTGGATGTTGACCCTGATTGGCTGTGCTGCCCAGTGGCAGTTGCGCCCCATGACCCTGAATTAGATAAGCGAATTGGAACTGGGTATAGAAGAGCTCAAAAATAGGCTTTTTAATCTATAAACAGTGTAGCTCTAACCCTAACCCTCTAGGTGGATTCCACCCATTTTCAGTGTAATTCTTAATTATCTTCATAGGAACACACTGTCTTGTCTGTTTTGCACTCTTTGACAAACACTCCAACTTTAGATTCCTGCCTAAACTAAAAAACTGCTTTTAAAATGTGTTCATTTAGGCACGGCAGCTTTTCCCCTTTCTGTTTGTGGCGACCTGCCATGTTATGTGCAGACTCACTGAGGGTCGTATTAAAATTCAGTCTTCGTGTACTAGTCAGGATTTTAATCTGTATCTGTATCTGTTTAGACAGAGCAAAATGCTTTTTGATGGCAGTCTGATGGATTTCAGGCCAAAACTGGAATCAGATAAATCTGTAATAGAGATGGCACGATACCACTTTTTTATGTCCGATACTGATACCGATATCATAAATTTGGATATCGGCCGATACCGATATGAATCCGATATAGTGTGTTTTTTAATAAATAAAACTGTTTTTTTAATATCTTGCTGCATTTTGTATAAGTTCAAACTCAAGTTTAAAAAAAATAAAACACTAAAGCTATTCTGTTATACCTGTATGCAAAAAATACACTGCACCCAAAATATTTCATAGTTTAGCAATACTGATCAACCTAATAAACTTAAACCTAGTCTATCCTCCCTATTCTGGTATTTTAAAGAGTAAGCAACCTAACTAATAGGGTTTCAAACTCCCAGCAAAAAAAAAATAGGGAACCACCCCCCACCTTATGATGCTTAATCGACATAATCAACTTTAATTTGATGCAGTGTGAAAAAAATGCACAGAAATCAATTATTTTTCAAGAATAATTAAATAGATTCAACATCTTTCTTCAACAGAAGTTTAAACTGCGCAGATGGTATCTTCCCAAAGGAAAAGTACTATAGCTTACTTGGGTATATTAGACTTAATAGTTACTATATACAGTAATGGACTTCTATACATTTTACATCAGATTAAAACGTTGTGTGTAAGATTCAGACAATTATTTATTAAAAGCTGGACATTTTAAATGAGAATAAGAAAGAAAAGTATGTCTTTGTGCCCCCTTTTCCCTGTTCATGCCCTATCGGCCCCCTGGCTAAACTTTGCTAGATCCGCCCCTGCACAGTTACCAGCCGTCAGCTGCGTAGAAAAGGATCCTGGTGTAGAAAGTAATATTAAATAAATCCTAACAACAGATTATCAAGCTTAAACGTGATGCTGTTGTTCAGCCGCTGGTTTCCTCTTTCTGGCGCGAAGTGGGCCATAAACAAAGAAGAGAGACGGACAGAAAAGCTGATCAGCTGATCATTAATCAGTTTCACAATTGAAGTAGCAGCAGGAGAGGGAGGGAGAGAGAGAGGCAGTCGCTCCATATATCGGTTGTTAAGCTTAACGCGGGAATGCTTTACAAACATTCAGAGATGAACTTACACACTTGCTTTACTTCTCTCTGGGAAAACTTCCTCGGAGATGAAATGCCGGTTTGGTAGTGAGGCTACAAATACACACAGTGCTCTATCACGTGATGCATACTGCTCCGAGTGCTAAGGTTATGGGCCGAGTTAAGCCATGTTGCAAGTTTTGTGAGGTACTTTTTTGATATTTAATGGATCGGGTTACATCTTTTTTTTTCTCTCTGATATCCGAACCAGTAATTTAGGTCAGTATCCGACCAATACCGATGCGTAATATCAGATCGGTCCATCTCTAATCTGTAGTGCAAATGGAATGAGACATACACACTTAAAACTATGAAAGAGCGCTGGTCAGGCTAACCTGTGAGATTTGGATAATCTGGTGGTTGATAACCTTAAATATTAAAGGTATTTAAGGTCTACCTGAGGTTCCCTTGACTGCCACAGCATCAGTCATCACTCCTCAGATGATGTTCAAGTCTTCCTACCTACGGTGTTTATCTGCTCTGAGGCCACTGAGACTGATTTTAAGTGTTTTGAGGTGCAACCTGCTACACAGTGGATGAATAAAGATAGATGAGATTAATCATGACTCTGCTGTTATGAAACAGCTTAAGGGTATTAAGATTATACACACACACACACACACACACACACACACACACACAAAACCTGACTCAGAGCATTTGATTTTAGGATAAGTAATAGTTTCAATCACTCAGCAAGATTGTGTCATGTATGTTAACATACCTTCCATGGTGAAAAATCACAGTGACGTAAAGTTGCATGTCCCACTAAATAATGCAAAACTAGAAAATGATGCAGCAAATACACCAGTGATGTGTAAACCAGTGAAATAAATTAAAAACATTTTTACAAATGACAATTACACACTAAAGAGACTCAGACTGCTGACTAATGTGCTTGTTGTCCTTTATGCTTCATTACTGTCCAAGGAAATGTTTATTGCATGCTTTTTGTGCATTTTATTGAGACATGTGCACACTGTTCCCACAGGAGACATCTTTAAACTGGGTTAAAGTCACATGAAATAATAACATGTAGCAGCACATCAGAGAGTCTGTCGTCACATAAATCTGATTTCATGTCGTTAAACCAGTCAAACAGGGTGATGACTTAAACCTACTGCACAAAAACACAGTTCGCCCCCCTCGCTGATAATACTCTCCTCCGGATCACACCTGATTAGGTTGCACGCAGATCTGAACACCTGGCGTTACAGCATGCCTCAAAATCTCCTTTGTCCTCAAATCATGGGACACTGGTGATGAACTGCAGCAGGGCTAAAAGATATATATTTTTCATAACCAGAGCTTTTCTTTCAGCTAAGTTGACACATTAAAGAGATGTGGGGAAAGGGTTTATTCTTCCTTACATTAACTGTTTGTTCTTCTATAGCAGAATAATAAATATTAGATTATGCGAATTTAATCAAAATCATTTAAACTCTTGCAGTGATTGAAAACTTGGTGGACTTCATGTAAGAGGCTTCTGTTTGACAGAAGGCAGGTCTTCAATTTTTTTCAATGCGTCAATGCTGTATTAGTGTCCTGAACCAAACATTTCAAACTGATCCAGTTATAGCAATCCTTATTTAAGGATTATGATGAAAGTGACTTGTATGGATTGTGTGCCCTTGTTTGTTTGGATTGTAGGGGCAGCAGGACTGTGACGGCCTGCTGGCATCACTCTGACCGAAGGGTTAATATGGGTTAACTAACTCCTGAGCAGAACTAGCAGCATGCTGCACGCAGGGAGCAGTACAGTGAAGAGCGTGGGGCTGTGCTTGTGTGTTTGCCCTTTCAGTGTTTCCTGGTTTGTCTGGTCGGACGTGGGGGGGCTCTGAGCTGCAGGCACGGTGCTGGGTGGGAGCGTTGTGCGGCTGGCGCACATGTTGTAGAGGTTTCCAGAAAACTCTGTCTTCCTGGACTCTTGTCTTAGAGACTCCCAAACAGCTGCTGCTTCTCCAGGACAGCCGGCCAGAGCTGAGTTGGCACAAACGTGAAATGCATTCCAG